TATTTGCCCCACTGTGAAGAAACAGTGTCACTGAGGATTCATTTAACCTCCTGTATATAAAACTGGTTATCTGTAGTTTCTAATAGATGTCACCTAGAATTTATTTATTTATTTATTTTACACTGAACTTCTATCATTGACAATAAAGAGTGAACATGGTGAGAAAGCGGGTGACGTAATTGAAGCCTTTAGCTGGAACCAAACCAGGAGTGTTTCAATAACTGTTCATATTTGGGATTTGGATGGCTTTGTATTGTACTTTAAAATATAAAATTATTTTGTGCTTTCTTTGCAGGCGTCTTCACTGCACCAGAAATTACATCCACATGCACCTGTTTGTTTCCTTCATGTTAAGGGCAGTCAGCATTTTTGTGAAAGACAAAGTTGTCTATTCCAGCGCGGGACTACAGGATTTTGACTCTGCCCTGCTGGACAACTTAAAAGTAGTTAGCATGGCATCGCTGAAGTCTCAGTATGTAAGTACTGGTTTACATTATCTTACTCCAGTGCCAACAAATGTACATGTGAATTAAGAGTAGTCAAGGTAAGGAAAGGCAGCTTTATTTAGCACATTTCATACACAGACGCAATATAAAGTGCTTTAAGAAGGGATTTAAGAACCGGATGTGCGCAGTGCCTCTTCTTAAGTTGTCTAACAGTCTTTTTGGAAAGACCAGACAATAGACTGTTACAATAGTCCAGCCTGCTGGAGATAAAAGCATAAATTAGTTTCTCTAAACCTTGTCTCGACATGACACCTTTGAGTGTTGCTACTTGTTTGAGATGATAAAAAGGTGATTTGGTTGTAGCCTTGATGTCAAAAGCAATAACTTCAGTCTTCTCTTTGTTTAACTGAAGGAAATGTGATTGCATCCAGGCATTTACTCACTCTAAGCACTGACAGAGCGAGTCTAATTGACTATTGTAACTTTGTGACAGAGCTAAGTAAATCTGAGTGTCGTCTGTGTAACTGTGACAGGCATCGTTATTGTGATTTATGATCTGACACAGAGGGAGCATGTACAGCTCAAATAGCAGTGGTCCAAGAATTGAACCCTGGGGGACTCTGCATGCCATGGTGATCTGCTCAGATTTATGATCACCAATGGAATCAACATAGCCCCTGCCTTCGAGATATGATCTGAAGGACTGTACCTGATAACCCCACCCACTTCTCCAGTCTATCAAGATAGATTTTATGTTCTAGAGTATCAAAAACTGCACTGAGATCAAGCAGCTCTAAAACTGGTGTTTTTGTTTTTAGTACCTAAATAAACTGCACTGAGATCAAGCAGCTCTAAATCTGGTGTTTTTTTTGTTTTTTTTTACCTAAATCTGCATTGACACAAATATCATTTAACACTTTTATCAGTGCAGTCTCAGTGCTGTAGTGTTATCTGAAGCCAGACTGAGATCTGTCCAGAAGGCCTTTTTAAAAGTATGTTCAGTTGAGTCAAAACTTCTTTCTCAGTCTGAAACTTTTCATTTGAAAGGAAGATTAAGCAAGATTCCTATCATTTATTTTGAGATAGGAAATTGGGGGTCTTACCACACTGGGGATTAGTTACTGTAGCTTCTCAACTGTGGCAAACAAAACACAAGAATTATTGACATTCCTGTTGAAGATGTTAGAGAAAAGGTTCATCTAGCCTTAATTAGTGCAGAGTAAATGTGAAGCCTCTATCTAAAGGTCTCATAATGAATCTGAAGATTGCTTTTCCTCCATTTGCTGTCAGCTTTCCTGCACCATCTCTTCTGAATTGTGACAGCCAGAGTGGTGTAGAGTGGTAATGCTTTAATGAGGTATCTACTGACTGTGGGGCTGAATAACTGGCTACTTTATAGCAAAAAAACTCTTCATCATAAAAGAACAAAATAAAAGTCATAGCTCACAGGCAGCAGTTTCTTTTTGACATCACACCACCATGCCAAATTCCTTGTGGAGGCATTTCAGAATCAAAATACCAGAGCATATTTTCACTATGGTTGCTATTAAAATGTTTTCATTTAACAACTCAGTCAATCAGTGATTCAGTCTCAGTCATGAGTGAATGAGAAAGGGAAGAGCATTCCCACTGAGGGCACAGATTTTGTTATCGTTGTAAGCAGTTAAATTTTAATTGCTCTCACGATAATACCGCATTGCATTTTAATTCAAGTTGAGTTCGGAAAGAAACATAGGAACATGTAACTGGCATTAAATTGTTCATTTTGCTCAGGTTACTGGGGTAATTGTGAAGTTACAAATAACTGTGTGCCACACTGAAAGAGCTTAAAAGCAGTTATTTAAAAATATCTTTCATGAGATGCCACGGTGCTAAAAACAAGAGAAAGGTTTAACAATAACTGTGTGCCACACTGAAAGAGCTAAAAAGCAGGTATTTAAAAATATCTTTCATTAGATGCCACGGCGCTAAAAACAAGAGAAAGGTTTAAATAAAATGCTGCATTGTTACAGTGAAAGTGAAAGGCATGTTAACTGTAGTGCTGAAATCATCCAAACATTTCAGTTACATAACAGCACAATACATTCTGTTGCACCTGCTCAACATTATACTTTTCTCATTTGGTATCAGTATAATGTATGAGCTGTCAGTCTGTGCATCTTACCCAGCGTTACTAAAGATGAAAGGGGAACGATTTGTTTGCTAGTTGTTTGTCATGTCTGTCATAATACAACAGTCAAAGCTGATCTAAGGGGCACATGCTGCTTTTATGTTATTGTTTGAGTGGCTGCCTGTCTTCTTCACCTCCCCATCAACTGCACACATGAGACATCATATTTGTTGAGGTGGTAGAGGTGTTTTGCTTTATTGTATGCTTATTTTTAAGTATTCTAAAATAAGATCTTTAATTATAGTTGCCCAAATTAATGCTTGTCAGTTAGTGAAATGTGTGGGCCACACTTAAAATAGACAATTGATGGTTTTCACTTATAGGAACTTTGTATTTACAGTATGTCCTACTGTGTACTTTTCCTATTTGTTGTGCACATTTATACAGATTATTACAAACTGTAAGGAATCTGTCTCCTCTCACAGTCTGTGTGAAGTACTATGATCACAATAGTGTGTCAACATGCAGGCAGACAAATATAATAGGATGTGACAAAAGCATCGTTTTGTTATCAGATTGGCTGCAAGGTGACAGTGCTGCTCTTCATCTATTTTTTGGCAACCAACTACTACTGGATCCTGGTGGAAGGCCTCTACCTCCACAGTCTCATCTTCATGGCCTTTCGATCGGACGCCAAATACCTCTGGGGCTTCACAGCCATTGGATGGGGTGAGCAATTAAAGCACATTTCTCATATCTCATATTACCTAAGGCATGATTTTGTTTTTTGGACTATATGTTTGGACTAGACCAGTGGGGTTGAATTTACCTTCATACAGCAAAGTGGATCCAGAACTGACTCTGTAAGCTAGTCAGCATGTGTTCACTGCTGGATCGTTCACACAAACAGAACACTCTGTGACAGCATCCTTCCTTCCTGATTTACATACAAGGTGACACATATTAGCATCTGTACTGGTATCTACAAAATGCTGAAAAACATTTATATATTTTAAAGCACAAGCTAACATATCTTAACTCTTTACCTTTGCAAACTAATGCTGAATAACTTTGAATAATTAGAAAGGAAGGGTATAAACGTAAAATAGGTGTGGCATGACTCCAGTATACAGTATCTGGTTCTGGGGATTCCTGAGAACATTTGGATAATGTTTGTTAAAGGTTTTCTTGTACACTTTTTACAATTAGATGTTACCAATATACATTATGTGTATTCTTGCATTGAATGCATTTGTCTCCTCAAAAAACAAATGATTTCTTGTGAAACCATGAGCAGGATTGTGTATCACATCACTCATACATCATCTCCTACTCACATGCAAGACAAACATCGTACGCATGATGCATTTCTTAGCACATCCAAAATTATTCCCCCCCCATGATGCATCAGTCCATTAATTTTCTCCCTGGACAGCTTATAACCAAATTATTTTTGCTACTTTGGTTTGATAGCTCTATGGGGGAATAATTTCCTAGCAAGTGAAAAAGATATGAGAACATGTCTGACAGATTTCACTAATGTAACCAATCAGACATGGATGTGTTGAATAGATGCTTACAAAATCTAACTTTAAAATTCAAACTTCATTGCCCCAATTAATTAATGTTTAGATTGATGAATAGGGTAGAATAAATGGTGCTATAATGAGATGATAAATCCAATCCTCTGACAAGATGTAAAATGAATGAAAATAATTGTATTTATTGCTCAGTAAATACAATCTTAATTCAATCCAGTAATATAACAATATAATCCCCTTCTCTCTTCATGAGAAAAAATTCAGTGACAACCTTAAGATGACGGTTACCCTGATGTACACTTCAATAAAGTTTTCTGTCTTTGTCTCTTCTCTACATTTTCTTTTACTGTTTTTTGATCCCTCACCATCCCCACCTTGATTCTTCTCCCGATTAATGTCAAATACTGTCATTTGTTGCTTGATAACCCTGCCTGGCCTGCCTTTATAATCACCTCAGTATCCCCATGCCTTTTGGCTTTGGTCTTTTCCATGCAGTCGTGTGTATCCTTCATGCACATCTCCCATTTGGCTCTGGTCACCTCCTTCTCCCTGGTTATTTGTTTCCCTGAAAGTCACCTTTCATTCATCTCCTTTGTCATTTGCTTCTGCACCCACTCAGCTCCTAAGGACTTATGTCAGCTTTTGACACGACCCACAACTCAGGCCAGCTTAAAGACAGTGCTGACCTGGGTTAATGCAATCTAGCCACAGGGGTTGCAAGCCAGTCACTTCTGTGCCGGTCCCAAGCCCGGATAAATAGAGAGGGTTGTGTCAGGAAGGGCATCCGGCATAAAACCTGCCAAATTTAAACATGCGAATCATCAGTGTGAACTCCATACCGGATCGGTCGAGGCCTGGGTTAACAACAACCGCCAGCAGTGCTGTTGACCTACAGGGTGCTGGTGGAAATTGGACTACTGTTGGTCGAAGAAGGAGAGGGGGTTGAAGGAGTCGTAGACAGAGAGAGAAGAGGAAAGGCAGGAGTATAGGTCTGAGAATAGGGACTCTTAACGTTGGGACAATGACAGGGAAAGGTAGAGAGCTGGTGGACATGATGGAAAGAAGGAAGGTAGATATATTGTATGTGCAGGAGACCAGGTGAAAGGATAGCAAAGCACGTAGCATTGGAGGGAGATACAAACTGTTTTATTATGGTGTGGACAGGAAGAGAAATGGGGTAGGAGTGATCCTGAAGGAGGAGCTAGTGAGGAATGTTTTAGAGGTCAAAAGAGTGTCAGACAGGGTGATCAGTTTGAAGTTGGAAATTGAAGGGGTAATGTTGAATGTAGTCAGTGGTTATGCTCCACAAGTAGGGTGTGAGTTAGAAGAGAAGGAGAGATTCTGGAGTGAATTAGATGAGGTGATGGAGAGTATTCCCAGAGGGGAGAGAGTGGTGATTGGAGCAGACTTCAATGGGCACATTGGTGAAGGGAACAAAGGTGATGAGGAGGTGATGGGAGGGTTTGGTGTCAAGGGAAGGAACCTAGGACAGATTGTGGTGGACTTTGCTAAGAGGATGGAAATCGCTGTAGTTAACACCTATTTCCATAAGAGGGAGAAACATAGAGTTACATATAAGAGTGGAGGTAGGAGTACGCAGGTAGACTACATTCTATGTAGACGAGGCAATCTGAGAGAGATTAGTGACTGCAAAGTGGTGGTAGGAGAAAGTGTAGCCAGACAGCATCGGATGGTGGCGTGTAGGATGACTCTGGTGGTCAGGAAGAAGAGGAGAGGAAAGACAGAAAAGATGACCAAGTGGTGGAAGTTGCAAAAGAAAGAATGTCGTGAGGAATTAAGACAGAAGTTGAGACAGGGCTTGGGTGGTCAGGAAGAACTTCCAGATCACTGGGAAACTACAGCAGAAGTGATCAGGGAGACAGGTAGGAAGGTGCTAGGTGTGTCATCTGGAAGGAGGAAAGAAGATAAGGAAACATGGTGGTGGAACGAGGAAGTACAGGACAGCATTCAGAGGAAGAGGCTAGCTAAAAAGAAGTGGGACGTAGAAAGGACTGAAGACAGTAGACAGGATTACAAGAAATTGCAGCGTAGAGTGAAGAGGGAGGTGGCAATGGCCAAACAGAAAGCATATGATGAGTTGTATGCCAGGTTAGACATGAGGGAAGGTGAGAAGGACTTGTACAGATTAGCGAGACAGAGAGATAGAGATGGGAAGGATGTGCAACAGATAAGGGAATTAAAGACAGAGATGGAAAGGTGCTA